CGCCGCACGCACGAGTGGTGGGTGTGCTACTTTACGGTGGTTGCGATTGTCGAGGCACTCTACGGCAGTCGCTCGAGGCCATCTTTTGGTGGGTGCCCTTCTTTTACCATACCAAGCTGATCCTTATGCTCTGGCTTCAATTCCCGTACTTTCACGGCGCCCAAGTTGTCTTTGACGCGGTGTTTCACAGCGTCTTTGTCTTGCGCCCGCGACGCCCTCGTCTTGCGACAGCCACCGCGGTCGACGCCGCCGCGCTCTCGGAGACTGCCACGTAATCGAGTTGTAACTACACTCTATTGTACTCTATCTCATCTGTCGTTTGCATCGTTTACAGAAGTATGTATCTTGGCTGTCTCTGGGTGCATGCAAGAGAACGTTTGATCCAGTGATCAAGTTCCAGTGCGTCGCTCACCAGCTACTCATTACTAGACGGGCTTGCTCGTACGTTTTCACTTCGCTAGATTGACATGGCCTAAGACGTTTTCGTTGACTGACGTGGCGACTATTGTGACGAGAGTGAAGTTGTTGGTTGGAAAAAGCATCGTGTCTCGGTGCACCACACTTCACATAGAAAGGTTTGCGCGTGGTGACTCTCTTGTGCACATCATCGAGGACACATCCCCGCTTCAGCCCATGCTTTTAGCATGGAGCTTGCTTCGAGTACCAGCACCGCTGCGAAATGACCGGGTGGCCGCCATCGGCAATTTGGAATCGGGCTTCTATTTTATTATCCGGAAATGTGTACGGATAACAGCACGAAAGTGACGGGCAACGGCCCATCCATCATTCTGGTGGCATTGATAGAGCAAAGCATCCGAGCAGACAACAACCGATTGCCCATTGACGAGGATGACCTCACCCGTGCTTCGGTCGCCCGACCTCATCGCGGCCGTCGTGTCGTACCAAGATGGTCTACCCCAAGACTTGGCGATCGTCCAGCGCCTTGCCGACGCCGTCGAGCTCACGCCGTGCTCGAATTTCATCAACGAAGATCAAACGGGATACCTGGCTCACGTTCCGGCCCGGTTTGCATCCTTGCCGTACCTCCAGCGCTACCCACACCCGACGACCAAGCTACCTCATCACGCGCTCTTTGTCTCGCCGTATTACTACGACCGAGCCCTCGCTCTCCATCTAACGATTGTCGAAGGTGACGTGGCGCTCGTTCAGCGTTGGTTGCGATGGAATGCCTCGTTATGTACATCGACGACGCTCGAGCTCGCTGCTGCTGCGTCCCAAGGTCCGATTCTGCGTCTCTTTTCGAGCGGTTTCCTGCGCTGGCCACGCCCAAGATGATGGACCTTGTCGCCATGTCGGGCGACCTCCCGCTGCTCGTGTGGCTCCATGAGGCGGGCGTGGCCTGTACCACCGACGCAATGGACGGTGCAGCCATGAACGGTCACTATGACATCGTCCGTTTTCTGCACTCGATGCGGACCGAGGGCGGCACGATCACGGCGGCAACGGCAGCAACCGTCCACGGTCACGCGTCGATCGTTCGCTTTCTTCTCGAGCAGCGTACCGAAGGCATTGACCCGTCGCTCAATTTTAAAGTGCCGCATGGCGAGCACAAGACGCACAGTGTACGCGGCGAGACGCACATGGAGGCCGTCGATCTCGTCGCCGCCACCGTCGAGTTGACAGACCACGCTTTCAATATGATCGTGGACAAGGGTGGTCTCGCAGTCCTTCAACATGTCTACGCGCGTGGGTACCTGAAACAAATGACCAAGCCATTGCTGGAGCTAGCAGTCGCCAAGCAAGACCACAAAATGCTGCGCTATATCCTCGCTTACGTCGACCAAGAGAACCCACGACCACCCAGCGACGACGAGTGGCTGCCAACGGACGTGCTAGATAAGACCTCCTCATTCAGTCGAATGGTTAACGACCCCAGTCCATTCGACCGGTGGGAGGGCTGCAACGTGATGGAGCTCGCAGCCTTCAACGGCGACATGACGTCTCTCAAGCTCTTGCACGCGAGCCGCCTACGCGTCGGTTCGGAGCGAGCCATGGTCTGCGCAGCCTACCGCGGCCACCTGAACGTGCTCGACTGGCTGCACAAGAACCGACGCGATGGCTGCGGCGAAGATGCGCTGGCCCTCGCCACCGCCGCCGGTCACTTTGACGCTGTGCGCTGGCTCCACGAGGCCTACGGGCTGTGGCGGACCCACGCTGCCTTGGCGACGGCAGCCTACATTGGCCACATGGCGATGGTGACGTACCTCTTGGACGTGCCGACGGGCGGCGTCGACTCTTACACTGACCCAGCCGACGAGATCTCTAGCGTGGCGACTTGCCCGCTACAATGAAATGGGTCCCTGGGCAACTCGGGTGTCGACTACGTCAGAGGGTCGCCGACGTACTGGGCGGCGAGCCAAGGCCACCTCGACATCCCTGGAGCTGCTCGTCGCTCGTGGCTACGACGTGCCGCCGAATGCCATTGACAAAGCCGTAGG